TATATATAATTTTTGTTATATTAAAAAATCAATTGCCTTGGGTGGGAAAGAATAATTTCAAATATACCAACCAATTTCGGTCGGTATATTTGAAAACTTTTAATTAAATAATCTTTTGGTAGATAATATGCAAGTATGACCAGGTCTTGGTCAAAGATTGACCAATTTACGACCGACATCGGTCGAAATTTTTATATCTTTGTTGTGGGACCACCATTTTCGTTGTCAGAAATATTTTCTTTGATTTTTGCGACCAATTTACTATTTTTCCGACCGATTTCGGTCGGTTTTATTTTCGACCGATTTCGGTCGGTAATCTTTGGAAGGGTTTTGCCCGTTTTCTAGTAGTGGCCTTCCGTTATTTGGCTCGACAAAGTTCCCTCGATCTTGTTTGGTCCCGGAGTCACGAGCTCAACGATTCAACTTCGCGCCTGGGTTCGATATAATCCGGGGTCGAGCCCCGACCCGTCACGTTTCGGTCTCGACTATTCATACAATATACGAACCTGATTTCTACCGTATACATATATATACCCATCAAAACTCTTTTCCTCCTCTGATATGAGACAATGTCCCTTTGTCAAAGAGAAAAATTTAAAATTTTTATTTTTTCTTCCATTTCCCATTTACTCTATTTTAAAGCTATTATAAGCTTAAACCCAACAAGTACATCTTTATTTACTTTGCGTTCATCATCTTATCATTCAAGTTCGAGTATTAACGCTGCAAAAGCCCCTTCCTGATTCTATCATTAATCTTAGCATCTACACACTGCACAGCTGATTAGAATGAAAATTTAATCATATTTTTCTTTGCATCTTTTCATATTGTATACAGAGTGGGAACCTGTTGCCGTGCCCCGACATATATCAGGACATCATACGAGATGCTCTTTTAGTTGCTCGATCAAGCAAGAGATCTGTTTTTTGGGGTCTTTTTTAATTAGTATTTTCCTTATTGTTCGGCGGAGGCGGACCCGGGATTTTAACGCGATGGGGGCACCAGTATTCTACTCAACCAGTGCCCCCTAAGTGCTTTTAGTGTTCAGGGTGCCAAGTGATTTAAATTAACTATTTTTCAAGGTACATATATACATGTACAAGATTTCTGCCTCAGTTTACGGAGTCCGGTGACTTCTCAAGATTACATATAGGTCCGCCTCTGTTGCTCGCAATCTGACAGTGAGTTACTGAATGAACAGAACAGTTCAAATTCCGCTAATATATTCATGATAAAGACATCAATTTTAGGTTCTTCATTTCCTATAAAAATCGAAGTGGTACATGCATGTATGTTTTACTGCACAACGTTAAGCTCCACAATACATACAAAACATGGTCTAAAACAAGTAAAAGTACAAGATTCAATTAGTAGTATTGACTTAATAATAAAATACGACAAAGGGGTCACAGACAAATATTAAACCCCCTGAGACGAAGAATAAAAATTTGATCACTCACTTGTGTTACAAACGTGATCTTAAAAACCCTAATAATTAAAGTGAGGAAAAAAAGGTTTACAACCAAGACCAACCCCAAAAAACCTCTAAGAGTGACGCAAAGGTTTAGTCCAAAGCTTATTAGACATAAAAATGAAATCCTAGTAGACGTTATTAATTGCATAATTACAAAAGAGGGCAATTAATTAATTATTAGCAAGGTTAATTAAGGTCATTCATCTCTTTGGTAATGGCAGGAATGCAGCTAGTACTTCTTGCAATCCCACCTTTCTTTGGGATAATTTTGTCCCTTGGACTAATAGATTTGGCTCTGAGAATTCCCTTTCCATCCCTGTTATTCCTCTTCAACATTTCCCTCATAGCCTTAGCTTGATAAAGAACAGGATAAGCCCTACCAAATTTATTAAACTTGCTACAAGCACTCATGTGACTACTCAATGCTTCTTCATTCTTTCCTCCATTCTTTTCTGCTTCTTCTTTCACTGCTTCAGAACACAGCCCACATATCCACTTCCCCGAATACTTTTTTCGAACTTTATCGATGTATTCGTGTGTGAATTCTTCGCTCATTCCACAGCACTCGCATTTTGCATTTTCAACTTCAGATATTGGGGGTAGATTTGAATCAATGATAGACTCTTTGCTCATCCACTCGAACGAGATATCGGACATTGTCCTTTGTAAATTATCGTTTGAGAGTCGAGGGGGCATGCTAAGGTTTTTTGTTCGGACGTAGGAAGTTGTAATTGGCTCTCCATGTGGTGCCATTGTGTTAATTTTCGACCAAATAATATTTCAAGAAAAATGATAGGCTTAGTTCTTAAAAGGATATAATTATGGATGAGGAAGATGAAGATGGGTTGGCTTCTATTTATAGTTGATGGTTTTATTGTTTCATGTTTTGCAAGTTGGAAGCCGAAAAGAAGCTGTGGACCATATAGACTGAGACGTCACTATTGAATCTATCTAAACATTAATTGTACTCATGAAAATGCGCTAGATCTTTCAAGAGGGGCTAGATAGCTAATACTCCCAATGATAAGTGATTTTTTATTTTTATTTTCAAGCAAATTAAAAAATTTATATTTTAACATTAATTAACAATTAAATTGATCATATTAACCTTTACTATATATTTCTTCACATAAATACTTTTAACACATACTCTAACACTATTTACTTCCAGGGCAATGCAGGGAAAAAATAATTAATGCATTCTCTATTAACAGAAAGGAAAAAACTTTGGCTGCTTGTTCATGTGCGTGATGTGATGCTTGCTTGTATTTTTGTTTTGCTGTTAACTTACTATTTTTAGGAAATAAAGTTCTATTGTGGGGTAGCGGTGAAACTAGAATTTTATCAAGGGATGTTAAAATGTAAAAAAATAGATATATCGAAAAGTTTAGGGGGGTCAACGTATAGTAAATATACATAAAACAAAAAAAATTATCTAACAATGCAATATAATTTTCTGACGAAGGGGTGTCGATTGACGCCCTTGGTTGGACGAGGGGTGAGCTGGGCATCAGTGCCATGTCACCTACCTCAACCATGCATGTTTTAAAGATTTTGAAATTATATATCACATGAAATTATAGAGATGTGGTAATAATGTCCGGTAACAAAAATGAGATCAACTTGCCACCAGTCACAAGTTGTCGTTGTTCGACCATTCAAATTAAGTGGAGTAGTAACCTTACAAAGTAAATGCTATTTCATTGATCATCAAATCAGCAGATACATATACATCACAACATCAATGTCTTCCTGTTAATTCCCGTGACACTGTAGTTATCATGTGGTATAGATTGAGCTAATTGTTGCTGTCTTCAGCTGATAAGCCCGAATTTAAAACTTATGTGTTTGAAATTTTAATCTGTTTAATTAACTTAGTGAGTTCTAAATTAATAATTTACAGATGTTTAATGATTATATGAAGATAAATACAGATGATTACAGCTCCGCCCTTGGCTGTCTTGATGTAATTGTTTGAGATAGTTATTGTTGAGGTTTTTTGTTTTTAAGATGAAATAGTCTTAAAATGAGGGTGAATGGGAAATGGAGGGAAAATGAAATTTTTGAGTAAAATTTTAAGTTTTCCCCTCTTGACAATGAGACATTGTCCCATATTGGAAGAGGAAGAGATTTTTGGTGGGTATATATATAATTGCTCTTCTTCTAACTCTTAAAGAGTTAAGAAGAAAGCAAGCCTCGCGCCGCCGTCGTCGTCGCTCGGCTCGGCTTCGGCTTCGGATTTGGTCAAATGATCGATTGATTGATTAATTTTTTGG